ATGTATGTATGTATGTATGTACGCGCATATTCCGCATATACATATATACATATATATATATACAAAATATATATACGCACGCATACACTCTTGAAGTATAGAAGAGCAGGCTCCTAAACGGTGGTTTCCGAGAATGTCGCAGCACTAGCAGGGCTCAGTGTCTGGAAAGGTCCCAGTATAAAGGGACCATCAGTTGTTGAAGCTCCACATGTCGGGGTGTTTAGAAGATGAAACCCTGAGGTGAGGAATGCAAAAGGAGTACAAAATACACTGAAATCATCAGCGCAGGCATAAGTCTGACACAAGCAACATCCTTGACTCCTCGGCCCTACACAAAACAAACCAGAGGAGCCCGAAAGCTTACCCTGAACGATGCAACGTCCAGCTTAAACAGTGATGGCGCTTGACTCGCCGAGTGGCGTTTTCTTCTCGCGCACCATGCCCTGCCAAAGGGTTCTGGTTCTTCTCTCTGTGTAGTGTTTCTGTCTGTATTGTTGGATGTTGGTGTTGATGAGGGTAATGACGATACTAGTAGGCTCTCCAAACAATGCAGTTGAGCAGGCAAAGCAGTGATAACGACGACGGCGCCCGGATCACTCGTCGGAAGCGGAACCGACTTGTGTTACTGAGCCCTTTGCCACCACGATTCATTGCAACATGCGTTACAAGCCTGCCATCGCCTCGAGCAAACAATACGTCATAGTGAGCACTTGCAATGGTGATGTTCTTGACAACGGCAACCGCCATGATAATCGCATATTCAGTTTCATCATCGTCATCACCTTACTGCAATCCGGGTGTCTCGCTGTGCGGGTGGCCGCAGATCAATATGTGTGCTTGGGGTCAGCTGCATATTTTTTGAGGTACAAAGTTTGTAACGTTCGGCTTAGCCGTGCCGCGAAGCAGGCTTTGAGACATGTACGTCAATAGAACCCTGGCAAGGCCGTCCTGTGCCTTTCGAGGCCCATCGGCCCGGCACCGTAAGTCCCCCTGGCTGGCTTGCTCGATTGCCTCTGGAAGCGACAGCGGCGAGCCTTTCCTGAAATGAGTTTCTCCGCCATCAAAGCCACTTAGAGCTCCTCGTTGATCGCTTTGCTGATGGAATTCGAGCTGTTGGCTGCCATTTGCACACAAAGTGGCAGTCAAGCCCTGAAAGCAACCGCATAACCCTGAACCTCCCAGAGAGCCCAATACCCCTTCATTAAGGAATATACCTTAAATCCTAATATTAAGACCCCTATAATTCAAGGTATATTCCTTAATTAAGGGGTATTGGGCTCTCTGGGCCCTCCACACATGAAGCCCTAAGCCTGACATCCTATTGAAGACTCTATACCTATAGGCCCTAAAGTAGTTCCTTGTTGGGGGTCATATATAGAAGCCTATAAGGTAACCCCAAAACGGAACCACTATGGGGCCTATGGGTAGAGTGAATACCAGAAAGTTGGAACATAGACTTGGGATGATTACCGCTGGGATTTGCCTTACGGGAATGGGGATACTTGGAGGTTCATAGTGGGGTGATAACTGGGGTGACTATAGTTAAATTCTCATATTGGGGGACTTGTAACGCACTGATAACTACGAATGAGCTTCCAAGTAGTGTTATTCAAAGTTTCTGGCTTCTACCATAGACCCTGCTCAAAGTTTCATGGGATTTGGTGGCTAAGAGGGCTCCTAGAAAGCTTACAGGCTTCTTGAAGGGACCTAGAGAGGTCAAATAATAGGACCCTACTTTAAACTTCGCAGCTCCACCCTAAACCCTAAACCCGCGAAAGCCTGCGTTTGTTGGCTTTGGGGTTTACGGCTTAGGGTTTAACAGTCTTAGGGTTTAGGGGTTTAGACTCTTAGCCTCTAGCATTTAACATTGCAGGTGTTGAGAGTATCTATCAAGTCCTGCAAACAGTAGGCAAGCCCTAAGCGCCAAGCCTAAGATGGGAACCCAGCAACTTCCATTTAGGGGCCCGAATCATATTCAACTGGTGCTGAAGGATTTAGAATGTTCGGGTTGATGGATCAGAGTTTTATGGTTTCGGGTTGAGCGTTCTAGGGAAACCGGTATCCCAGTTGGGTTGTGTAGGGCTTAGGGGCGTTTGGGTTTGGGCTTTTCGGGGTTTGGTGCCTACCCTAAACCCTAAACCCCAAAATCCTAAACCCAAACCCCAAAACCCTAAACCCAAACCCCAAAACCCAAACCCCGAAAACCCCAAACTCGAGACCCCTAGTAAGGGTTGTGTCCAAGGGTTCCGGGGTTCAGGGCCTAGTCCCAAAGCCCTAAACCCCTTAACCCAAAAAGCCATCAACCCCTAAACCCAAAAAGCCCTGAACCCCCAAACCTGGTGTGGATGCTAGGCATTTTAAGGCCTCAGTCAAAGTGTGTAGTGCATGAGAGGTTCAGAAGTTCAGGCCTAGAGCGTTTACTAGGAGGTCACACGCTCCCCAAACGTAAGAAGTGTGAAGTGTACTCATCCAGCTACTAAGCTTGGGCCTTTGTAAGCTTCGTGGCGACGGTTTAGGGTTTAGGGGTTTGGTGTTCAGGGCTTTTGGGCCTTGGCTTGCTCCACATAGTACAGGCGGTCTTCTCGCTCACCATTCTCCTGCACTCGCCGGAACGTCTCCAGGAACCTTGTGTAGCAGAGGGTGCACCGAATCGGGGGAGGCTTCGGCTTTGGCCAGAAGTCCTAGTGTAAGTAAGGGCCTGAATAGTTAGAGTTTTGGGGTTCCTTATTATAATTCTAGTATAATATACCCCCAAACCCTATTCTAACTAAAGCCCTATATTAAGCCCTGTACCTCAAAAGCTCTAAACACAGAACAGTTTTCAACACTTAGCAACTGAAACCAACTAGCCTCACCTGCAGGTTCGGCAACCTAGCCCGCTAAATCCTCGGATCCTCTGAGGAACCTCATGACATCATCAACCCAAACCCTAAACCCTAAACCCTAAACCCTAAACCCTAAACCCTAAACCCTAAACCCTAAACCCCTAACCCCTAAACCCTGTAGGGTTTCGGGTTTTTAGGGATGCCTGGGCTTCAAGATTGCGACTTGGGGAACGGGGGGTTTCTTAGCATTACCGAATTGCAGAATTTAGAAGCCTTCCATACCATAGCTATGTCAAAGGAATCCACGGGACTAATGCTGAAATCTACGGTTTAGGGTTTAGGGTTTAGGGCTGTGCGGAAACACACTCCCTCTTTCCTCCATGTGTCCCTAAACCCTTAACCCCTTCAAAAGCACTTTTCACCCTAAACTGAACCGCTCAGAAGCACTTTTTCCTTCCGTCGTGTCTCCTTTACTGGAGCATCGACTCTGGGTCTTTCCGTGCGTCGTGCACGCTGCTGGAGGGGTCGAGGGCTTTTGTCCTATGGCAGGGCCTGAAAGCTTAGTGATCATGGGCCATTGTGAAGCCCCACATGCTATAACTAGTCCTAGAAGGTCCTAGAATACTATCATATCCCAAAGCCCTACTCACTGATAAGCGATGAGGGATCTCCCTAAGGGTGCAAGTACCTAGCAATCATATCTCTGCAAAATGCTAACCTACAAGACTACTATCCTAAAACCGAGTACCTAATCATGGGGTCCTTTGCACCCTTAAGGTCTCCCTAACGGGTCTTTAAAGAAAAGTGACAGCAAGCATACCACTGAGGCTCTGGTCAGGGGTCTGAGATGTAGGGCAAAAAGCTTTAAGTAATTGGATTTAGGGCTTTTAGGGTTTAGGGTTTAGCTTTTAGGGTTTACTTGTACTTGAAACTTCCGTGCTTGCTATTCATGCAGCTGATCTCGGTGTGACAGGTGGCCGGACTCCAACCAGCAGCTTCTTTCTGGATGCACTTGGGAGCTTTCAGAAAATTAGGAGGCACCCCAATAGAGAACATGACTACCGCACAGACTTAACCAGAGACTCCGGATAACTACCATAAGAAAGGGTGTCATGGCAACCACTCTTCAAAGGGGTCCCAAAAAACCCATTTTTTTTTCTGAAATCCCGTTTGATTTGCACCCTCAGCACCAAGAGCTCGAGGCCGCTTGCACAAAGTGATGAATGCTACAGACTTATCGGCTTGGAGGGTTTAGGGTTTACCTTAACCCACCATCACCCTAATGTGGAATGTATAGGAACCCCTAAACCCTAAACCCTAAACCCTACAAAAAAGTAGGTAGAGGTAGGCGCTTCAGGCGACACAAGAAACAGACTTGAGCATTGGCGGTGAGGGTTTGTACAGACGCTGTGAGGTTCGGACTTCGTCAAACGTAGTATAGGAGCCTTAATAATTAGAATGTGGGGGGCTCCTTAATATGATTATGGTATCATATAGCCCAAACCCTATTCTCATTATTGAGCCCTAAACCCTAAACCCTTAAAGCCCCTGTATTATGTTGATGGCAGTCTTCAGCAAGCTCCGGCTCCGGGCTTCGATTGAGCTAACCAAAAACTCGTCTCTTAAACGACCGGGTTAGGGGGGGTTGAGGGTTTAGAGTTTAGGGTTTAGGGCCTTTAGGGTAACAAATCAAGCTCTGTCAGAAAGAACAAGTATAAGAGGCGCATACAATTGAAGTCATCCTATTGGCTATCTAAGAAATTGATGTTGCTAGGTTTGTGTTGCAAACACAACGCCAAAGCGCAAAAACCTCATCCACAATCACTAGTTCAGATTTTGTAAAAACCGTCTTACACTATGCTGGAGAAGGGTCCTCAGCAATTGGAAGGGGCTTTGTAGGGTCATATTCTACAGTATATCCACGCATGCGACTACAAAGGATAAGCTAGCTCAGTTCACACATGCGGCCTCGAAAATCAGAGCCCTAGGTGCGAGACCAGCAAGCATTCTTTAGACCATTCCAATGGGTGTTCCTTCCTAATGAGCCGTAAACCCTAAGGCCTAAACCCAAAGCCCTCAACCCAAAACCCGAAACCCAAAACCCGAAGCCCTAAACCCGAAACCCAAAGCCCTAAAGGATGCAATTTGAGTACCTAATTTTTGGATCCCGGGACCGTGTGGATAACAGTGGCTGTGTCGTGCTCCTAGACATTAAGGCAGGAGATTGCGCGACAGGGTTCAGCTTTTTGGGTTTAGCGACATGGCAGTTTGCATGACAACCCACAGTTCACGCCACCTAGATAGCTTGCTCGTCTCTGGATCGAGAGGAGAGAATCAGCTCAAATCGTGGCTGTGTTCGAGCCATGTTCTTTTACTGCCTCAAAGGACATAGTGCTGTTCCTTAATGCAGACGCCGGTGTCCACCGCCGCAGGGTGTCCTTCGTCAAACAACTTAACCAGGAGACCCGTAATTGCGGGAGGAGCACTGATTGAGAAGCAGCACCCTAAACCCTAAACCCTAAACCCTAAACCCTAAGCAGTGAGAATGACAGTTCTAGTCTTGGCAAAGCTCTTGGAAAGAGTGGTTAGTGCACAGAAGAGTACGTAGGCCATAAATCGATCTGGAAGGCTTGAACAGGACTAGCAACTTGGCAATAGCAATGCAAGAAATACTTGCAGTCGCAGGAATCGTCGTCCTCGCATTTGGCGTCGTTCCTGTCGTAGTCGTGGTCGTCTTAGCAGCAGTAGTAGTCGTAGTAGTAGTAGTAGTAGTAGTAGTAGTAGCAGTAGTCGTGGTCGTCGTCGTAGTAGTAGTAGTAGTAGCAGTAGCATTAGCAGTAGCAGTAACAGTAGCAGTAGCGGTAGCGGTAGCAGTAGCCGTAGCGGTAGAGGTAGCGGTAGCAGTAGCAGTAGCGGTAGCGGTAGCGGTAGCCGTAGCGGTAGAGGTAGCGGTAGCAGTAGTAGCAGTAGTAGTAATAGTAGTAGTAGTAGTAGCAGTAGTATGAGTAGCAGTAGTAGTAGTAGTAGTAGTAGTAGTAGTAGTAGTAGTCGTGGTGGTGGCGGTGGTAATGGCAGTGGTAATGGCAGTGGTAGTACTAGCAGTAGTAGTAGTAGTAGTAGTAGTAGTAGT